GTAAATCAATTGCAATAATAAATAAAATAAATGTCTATTAAGAAGAAGTTGAATAGTCTAGGGGGTTAAACTTATCTTGAATGCTTATTAAAAAGTTGAATAATTTGGGAGGTTAAACTTAGTTGGATGCAAAATTACCAAATGATCTCATCTATTATGAAATATACAATTTGCTTATAGGGGCATAATAGTATTTAACTTAATTAGTATTTTAAAAAACAAAAAAAAGGAGAAAAAAGATAAATAAGCTCCTAGCTTTTAAAAGAGGCCACATCATGCATAGTGGTTTTTTCTTTAATATATATATAGATTTGTAGGGACACCAAATCCAAATGTGTGGGAGAAGATAGTGAATGATATTTTTCCAATTGAGGCTTCCATGTTTACCTAATTTCAACACCATTTTTGTAAATACAAATCACTTTTTGGTACATTCCTTCCACCCATTATTATTTTCATTTCAATATTTGTACTTTCTACTCTTTTTTATTTTTATGAATTATCTCCTTTTACATGTTACAAAATTATGATTTTCTTTATCATGTATATTTACTAAAAAATTTAATGTATATATAGAGTTGGGTTGAGGAGAAAACTTAAAAAAAATGAAAAATTGAAGAACACCCTGATAATATTTATCTGGACGGTATACACATGCATATAACATGCACATATGCATAGAAACCAAAAAACAATTTCAATTAATTATATATACATGTACATATGAAACAGATCAATAATTATCAGGATATTTGTTAGTTTTTTATTTTTTTAAAAGTTTTTCTAAAATATATAATTATCCAAATTTACTATGTCAAAACTACACAAAATAGCTAATCTGATTTCTTGGGATAAGAGAGTAATAACGTTGACACTTGTTCCTTGATATTTATTATCCAAAAGAAATAAAAGACTCAAAAAACAAGCAAAATGCAGTTTCTTTCCTTTTCTACTTGCCATCTTTAGACTTGGAATTTTAAGTGAGAGAGAGGAAGGAAGGAGGTTGAGTGTATATCTGCTCCATGCTGACTGCAGCATCTCATGATTCCCATTTCTAAACCAAAAAATCTCTTTGGCAGGTTACTCTCTTGTCGTTTTCTCCCTTCTTCTGGCATTATTTGCATTGCCTTTGGACGCAAAATACAAAACTAGAGATTGGAATTAGCACTTTTCTCCTTTTATCACCTCTAAATGTCACCAAGCCCCACCCCATTTCATTTTCAACACCCTTTTTTTCTTCTCTCATCACTCTCGATCATCATCAGCTACTCTACAGAATCTAGGGTTTTCAAGACTTGAATATCCAGTTGTTTGACACCAAACCCAGGTCAGAATCTTGTTTATTTCTGTGTTTTCTCAATCAATTCAACTGATTTTAGTTTTAGGGTTCCATGACTGTTACTTGATCAAGATTGTATCTGCTTCTCTAACGTGCATATTGATTTCAAGAATCTGCATGCTTTCATATTCTTTTTTTGTTAAATTATAGAATCTTGGTTGATACTGATCAAAAAGTGTTGTTAGTTGATCAAGTTTGTATCTTTTTGCTTCTTTTAATACCTGTTTTGTTGATTTGAACTTTTGAGGGAAGTTATATTTTTTTTGTTTGATGAGAAAATGGAACTAAAATACAAGTGGGTTGTGAAACTTTATTCTAATTTAGGGTGATATATATAGTGTCTGTGTGTATATATTGAGCTCAACCAAAATTGCAGGTAACAGTAATTCAAGTATTCAAGACATTTAGCTTCATATGTGTTCTCTTTTGAATTGAAGTTGCCAAAATTCTGGATAAACGCCTGCTGACCCAGATTTCTTATTGGGGTTAGGGATTGGAGGAGGTGTTGGAAGAACTTGCTGAAAGTTTATCAAGATAAACTGTGCTCTAAAGTTTGTTTAGGCCATTGATATTTCTAGTCTGTATGATAATTTACCCTTTCAAGTTCTATTTATCTGCATTTTGAGTTGCTTATCAATGTTTCTTCTTACAAAATCGTGTTTTTTTATTTAAAATTTTACCTATTGTAGGGGTTATTTGGATTCTACAACTTTTCGACAAAAGATGTAGGAATTTTGACGGTTGAATCACAAAAGTGGAAAATGGCCACTGAAAGCCCAATTAGAATCATGGAAACAAGTGGAAAATGGCCATCACACAATGAAATGGCGGCATTCGGGAAACCATCTAACAATATGGGCATTGAGGACCTTGGATCACTCTTGAAGGGCCAAAGTTTTCAAGAAAAACAGAGGGCTTTGGCTCCTAATCGTAGTGGAAGCGCACCTCCAAGCATGGAAGGTTCATTTGCAGCTATCGAGAACCTCATGTTTAGACATAAAATTGCTGAAAATGCAAGTCCAAATAGTCATACTGACACGTGTCAGTCTGAAGAACAACTTCGTGCAGATCCTTCTTATTTTGCATATTACTCGGCCCATGTTAATTTAAACCCCAGACTCCCTCCACCTCTAATTTCTGATGAAAATCGACATCTCTTTCGTAATGTAGCAAGTACAGGAAATAATCGAAGATTGCCATCTTTTGATGATTCTAGTGGCTCTTTCCGCTTGACTCAGAGTAACCTTTCTACTCACAGGGAAGAGTCAGATGATGATCGATCACCAAAACAGGTATGTAAGTTTCATAACAGAGAAAGTGATTTCTGTTTTTTGGATATCAAGATTCTACTTAATTTTCAAGTTGTTAAGAGGTATACACTCACTATATGTATCTTCTTCAAGGGTTGCTATTATTTTTGTTTCGTACACATTTTCTGACAAGTTACAGACACCCTCTTGGACATATAATAATCTGACTGCATTGAATTGTGGAAAAAGCAAGTTGATGGTCAGATTAAGGTCATGTTTGGTAATTATTTGCTCATATGTTGGGGGGAAATCCGAAGAAAATTTTGCTGTTGTGATTTTTCAGGATGAAGTAGTTCTTTGGTTATAAATATGCATTCCTATCACCTTCACATTTGGGAAAAAAAATGTTTTAGAGTTCGTATCAAGATGTTTTTCATAGTTACAAGTGCCGTGTAATCTCCATGCAGGAAGATTTTCCTCGAGCTCCATCACCTTTGCAGTCTCGCTCATATAGACATGAAACAATCGAGGAAGCATATAATCATGATGGTGATGATACGGGGCAACTTTTGTACTCTGATCCTGCAACTGCAGCTATTTCAAGTTCATCATCATTAGATAGTAGAGTGGGCATGCCATCCCTTAACATGAGTCCGATCAGCCATTCAGAAGATGATGTTTCATCCGTTGCAGGTATAACAAATGGAATTGTTGCCATTGATGTTTTGGAAAGTCAAAGAGAGCAACAGCAGAGAAGTATGTTCCACGTTCATGGCCACCATCCTCAAATAGTTTCACAAGGTCAAACATATATTGGCATGAATCATTTTCTTCAAAGTCCCTCCAATTTCTCCTCTGAGGTACAACGGGTACTTCAGTCATCGGGATTGACACCACCGTATGCATCTGGTTCAGCATACATGATGTCAGGAAATCATGTTTACCCAAACATGGTTCCATCTGGATACTTTCCTCAACAATACTTAGGTGGATATGCATTCAATCCCGCATCTATTTCACCTTATGTAACTGGATATCTCCCTACTGGTCCTGCTCCTATGCCTTTTGACATAAATGGTTCTCCAAGCTTTATTGGTCAGAATCAAACTTCTGGAGTTAATTTGCAACATTTGAACAAGTTTTATGGGCATCTTGGGTTACCGATTCAATCTCCATTTGGTGAAAGTTTGCAGCTTTCTACTCATGGAGATGACCAGATACAGAAACAGCAACATTTAGGAATCATGGGCCACAGCAACTTGAACTTTGGGAGCCCAACCAACATGGGTGTTCTGCAGTTTCCAACCTCAACGTTTGCTAGTCCACCTATGCCAGGATCCCCGATAGGTGGGATCGGTTTCCCTGGTGGGAGAAATGGAATTAGGCCATCATCTAGTCCGTATGCTGGATGGCAAGCACATAGTGGACGTCAGGTTTTCAAAGATCCAAAAACTTATTCTTTTCTTGAAGAACTGAAATCTGGTAAAGGTCGCAGGCTTGAGCTTTCTGATATTTTTGGGCACGTCGATGAATTCTGGTGAGTGGTAAACAAGTTATAATCACGCAAGTATATTTGGTTCTGTTAGGAGAACTAACGTTGTATTTGTAACTATTAACACAGTGGTGATCAACATGGAAGTCGATTCATTCAACAGAAGTTGGAAATATGTAGCATTGAGGAGAAAGAATCTGTATTTAAGGAAGTTCTTCCAAATGCTTCCAGTTTAATCACTGATGTTTTTGGTAACTATGTCATCCAAAAGGTGAGACATCACAACTTAAGGCCACATTTGGCAATCATGAACTCGCTTATTTTTTTAGCTTTATTGAAAAATTCCCGTTTGGTTAGTCATAAGCTAGCTTCTTGAAAAACTACTTCATTCAGAAAGCTCCCCCCGCGGGTCTTTTACATTGTCATCTAGTTTATCAACTAACGGCCAGCTTATCAGCCAACGGCCTACTTATCAGCTAGTTTGCCAAACATAGCCTCAGTGTTAATGGTCGGGTAATTTTGCATGCTAATTCTACTGATCACTTAGTTGTATATGGTTCATCTCCTGACTTTGGTGCATTACAGTTTTTTGAGTATGGAAGTGGTGAGCAAAGGAGGGAGCTTGGAAACCAGCTTGAAGGTCAGATATTGCCTTTAAGTCTGCAGATGTATGGCTGCCGAGTGATCCAAAAGGTAGACGACTAATAATTTACACTGGGATTCATAATCTCTCCATCCCATAAAAATTGTAATGCTTCCGTTTTTGGGATGTCCACTAGACAATGCAACATTGTTCAAAGCTTTCATGTTAAAGTTAAGGGCAAAATGCATTAAAATGCAGCAAAGTTTGGTTTAGTTCCTATTTAGTGTAACAAATATTTTTCTGCTCAATCGATATAACAGAGTTTCAAAAATTCCTATTTTGTACCATTTGACAGTTAACCTGCTGATCTTGCAATATTTAATGATGCGGATACCTGTCTACGAAAGGGTGTTTGCAGAGAAGTGTGTGATAAACTTGACATCCACGTCACCAAATGTTATCAGTAGGTTATTGGTCAAAATGGGTAAAAAAATAGGAAATTTTGAAACTTTGTTATATTAAATAGAAAGTTTAAACATTTCCTATTGTTAAAAATTATCCTTCCACCCCATAAGAAATGACAAATAGTTTAATGGAAGTGTTTGATTAGTGAAACTATCTAAAATAGCCATCAATAATGATAAAGTGGAGGAACCTGGTGGACCCAAATCAATGCCATCAATATTTCATAATGTTTACCAACCGAAAAAAGGCAATGTCCGCTTCAACTTTACGGAAAGGAAAATGTTGCATTTATTTTGGAAACGAGGATCTAATAGTTTCAAGATAAAGGATGTTTTGGTTCTCTTTGCAAAATTTATGTCAGGCCCTTGATGTTATCGAGCTAGAACAAAAGATCAAGCTTGTTCTTGAGCTGGATGGACATGTCTTGAGATGTGTTCGTGATCAGAACGGAAATCATGTGATACAGAAGTGTATAGAGAGTATACCAATGGAGAAAATAAAATTCGTGATCTCATCTTTTCGTGGTCAAGTTGCAGCCCTTTCAACACATCCATATGGGTGCCGTGTCATACAGGTGCAATCCTTCTTTCTTCTTTATTTGTTTTGTTTTAACGACAATCCTTAATTGTTCTTCTTGATTTAACCTTTCGTTTGTTGTCAATAGAGGGTTCTAGAACACTCTACAGATGAATTACATAGCCAATTTATAGTCAATGAGATACTGGAATCTGTTTATACTCTTGCACAGGATCAATATGGCAATTATGTGACTCAGGTTTGTTTTTGTCCTCTTTCTCATTTCTAAATGAGTGAAATCTTTAGGCTTGTTGGGTTCCTATTTGTCGAATACTTTTTTTTTAGCATATTCGGGTGTTCTTTTTGGGGGAGGTCTTCACGTAAACATCTTTAGGATAGAGATCAGGTCTTCGGGTGGGATTATTGGGCTCGTTTGGTTTGTTTTTCTTTTTCTTTTTTCTGCAATTGTTTTTGATGTCATTTATGGTTATGCACGACTTGCAGCATGTGCTGAAGAGGGGAAAGCCTGAGGAAAGAAGCCAAATCGTGCACAAGTTGGCCGGTCATGTTGTACAACTGAGCCAACATAAATTTGCATCAAATGTCATCGAGAAGTGTTTGGAATATGGCGATTCTGCAGCAAGGGGAATCCTGATCGAAGAGATTGTTGGTCTTGGTGATAATAGCGAAAACTTATTGGTGAGCACTCTTTTCTATTCCTCTTTTTGATTTGTTGCTTGGCTGTCATATTATCAAACCACATCAAACGAACGTAGGTCCGGGAAGGGTAGGATGTATGCAGAGGTTACCTCTACCCCTCTGAGACACTACTTTCGAGTGGGATATACTAGGTTTGTTTGGTTTTGGTATATGTTCAAAAAGCAAATTTTAGTTGTTACTCATGTAGTTGCTACTTTCGAGTGGGATATACTAGGTTTGTTTGTAAGGGTATGATTTTGATGTTGTAGGCGATGGTGAAAGACCAATTTGCGAATTATGTCATCCAGAAGGTTCTTCAAACATGCATGGGAGACCAACGAGAAGTGTTGCTTGGTCGTATAAAGATTCATCTCAATTCATTGAAGAAATATACTTACGGAAAACATATTGTCACTCGCTTTGAACAACTGTACGACGAAGGTGCGTTTATTCTCTCTTTTTATATTTGTTATCAGAAATGTGGATTATTTTGTCCGTCAATATTCATAACTCTTGTCGACACTAAGACTTTTAACTTGTTTTTTTTGTTAAACTCCGTTACTTGCAGAAGTTGAGGCATCCGGTTCGTGACCGATTACAGAAACTGGAAAACGGAAAAGGTATATTCGAGGCATGGGATGGTTAGGAAGTGACGAAAATATCGAACTATGAGTCGATATATATAGATGGTTTTTTAACAATCATGATGCACAGGATGCAGAATAGTGATGATCCTCCTTGCAGCTGCAAATTTGTGAACCATTTTTTTCAAGTGTGTGGTGGTTTGAATATATATTTTTCTAAACTTAAAATGGTTAAAATAGATCGAGATTGAAGATCACATGAGAATTTTATCTTTTGTGAGAACCACCTCGTAGCCCTTGGATGATTTCTTTCTTTTGTTTGATTGAACGGCTCACGAAAATTTGGTGGCATAGATGTAAATAAGTGAAACTTTGATGGTATGGATGTAGGCCGAAACAATCTTAACATATCTCATATACCTTAAATTTTTTAACATGGAACCTTAGTATACCTTAACTGATCTTTAACAATTCAGAACAAACATGAACATACCAAAGCGACACACGCTCGATCTTTGACAGACGTGATCAGGTTCTTACAGGAATGGGAACTTTTACCGTAACCAAACGCAGACCAAAATGGAATGGCATCAAGCTTGAGTGAACGTTTCATACCATAAAACAAAATAAAGAAATGGTTCAGGTGAAATGCCAAGCTGCAAAAAGTACTAAATTAGAAACCCTCTCTGTTTTTCATTATCGTGATCTGAAGCATGACGATATATGATGATATCTGATACATCAAGTACGTAAAAAAACTTTTAAGAGATCAAAAATGGGCCTTCCGCTTGCGTGCAGTGTATTTGGAATCTGGAGGAACAACGTTTCCTTTGCTCCTCATCTTCTCCTTCTTCTTTAACACCCATGCTCTCGTTTTGCCTTTCTTCGTTAGTTTTTGCTTCTTTCGTGGCCTGTGCCTATCTGAAATACACACCTACACAAACGAAATGTTAAAGAAGATCAGAGGCCAGTTTGGGATTTTAAAACAGATTAGGTGCATATTGACCTCAAAAGATCAGATTGTAATACAACTTACAGTTTGGTTCTCTTCATCCCCGCTACTCTCATCATCTGAACAACTGTTTCCGTCTTCACCTATGGCACTTGGTGTGGCGGTGCTCAAAGACGGCGGCCCACATGTAAGCACAAGGTATTCTTTTCTTTTCTTAGAACTGTTTGTAAAGACCGTTTCAAATTAGTGTTTCAAGATGAATACGAAAACCCTAATGATGTCTTTGTTTAAACTCAAAAGTCTACAAGAATTTCATCAAGGGAACGTTATGGGAAAAGAAAGTGATACCTGTGGGGGTAATCTATGACTACGCCTCCAGCAAATCCAGCACGCATAGCAAAACCTAAGATTAGTTCCCGTTGGGCATTATTTTCAGGATACAATTGAAAAACTGCTCTAGCTCCCCTGCCCAAACATCTATAAAGTGATCCAAAGAAAGCCCTGCAAGATATATAGATACATAAACGTGAGCAACAAGAGACGCCAGTATTTCACTACTGCTGATATCATCACAAATTCAAAATCAATCTTACAAATTTTTACATCATTTTATATCTATTTGTAGTGATTACTAATTATTGATTTTTATATCAATTTCAAGAGTAATAGTGCACGCATAATTCATACCATCTTTGATGTTTAAAGTAGTGCATTTGGCTTTAAAAATCAAAAGATAACACTCGGAAATGAGCAAATGGAACTACGATCATTATGTACACTTGAATAAGAAGAGATAAGATGCTACATACTTCAATCTCAACCGTGGCTCGTGACAAGATTTATCAGCATTGCACAGCCACTGCACAACCAAACAAGCTGTGTTACATTAACCATTTTTCAACTCCTGAAAGTTTTGCCTTGCGTAAAGACCTTATATACTTCAGAATTCAGATATATGAAAAAGCAAGAAGCAGCAGCAGAAACTCAAATAATCACAATCCGAAGTGGCTAATCGTGTTAGTATGACTGCTCCAAAAGAAAATAGCATCTTATGAAGAAATTATAGTACATGCATACAACAAAGACAAAATGATTGGCAGGAAAAAACAGCTATAAAGTTATCAAAATCTGCTTAAGCATATGCAGAAAATCAAGATAATCCTATTTATCCAACATGTCAAGGCAATCCCATTTATCAACCAGCTCAAGTCTAAGACGACATAAGAAGACTTGGATTAAATTTTAATAGACTGATATAAGCATGAACAAAATGAAATGTAGAAATCTTAATAGAGCGAAGCAATTCTAAAAAAGATGAAACTAGAAACAAATATAACATTACTTTGAAACTTTCTATCATTTTCTTATGTTAAGTAGTGCTACAAGAAAAATGTCATAGAAATGTTGACCAATGCATCACCAAAAATGAATAGCAAAGAATTCAAACTTCAAAAGAAGAAACACAAACCTGAACAGCTGAGATACTGATGGCACCATCAATCAATCCAGGACGGAGTCCTAGGCCCTGCATATGCAATAAGGTACTTGCTGAACTTTAAGAACAGAAGATGATAAAAATAAGAACCTCCTACTTCAGTGAACTTTAAGACAGAAAACCTTTCCTAAGCAACATTCAACACTTCTGGCATGATCATAAGATAATTGCCTTTACATGTCAAAGACTCACTGAAAAAACTGTAGATGGCAAGTTTACAGAATCATGAAAGATTTTCAATTTAAATTCTTAACAGTTAAAATTCTGGCTATCATGCAACTTTTTTATGGACTAAAGGATTGAGATGCTTTGTAGTATCTCATTCTGTTAAGAACTGAGGAACTAGGATAGTTTAAGACTTCAGAGAGATTAAGCAAGAGCTCATCAAACCATAAAGATGATGCATATTGAAACCTAAAATGCCATGCAGTTAGCCTACTGGACAACTTAAGAAGTCACCTGTTTATAGATATGGAGTATTGAGATGTGACTGTACAAGTGGTTCACAGTCCATATTTAAATCTCACAAATGAATTATAGGTATAAGGAAATAAGAAGGCTACCTGACCCATGTCACCAAGTATAAGATCGCCATCAGTCTCCCTCTCCAATGCAATATCTGAATTAGATATTTGTGCACAATAGATAAATCCACCTCCAATGCTTTTTAGAAGAGAGATAGAGAGAGAAATGAAGAAAGAGATTGAATTGAACAAACCCAAACTATTGCATACCAAGCATAGAGCGTGATATATCTAGACCAATCCATTGATGCCCATTTTCAGATATTGTTTCGCCACTAAGTCCCGAACCACAACCTGACAATCATAAGAGCAAGAAACCCATGTCTTTGATTATTTCAAGAAGACAACTCAGAATAGATTAGCATCTATTAAGAATGCCCACACATGAATCATAAATGAGATGTTTTGCATCTGGTTCTCATGATCCAGTCTGTTTCCATGCCAAAGGATCTCAATAATCATCCAAACTTTATTGTTATAACACACTCGAGTTCAGAGGCAGAACAAGGGAAAAAGTGGTGGCACAATTTAACTATAATAAACAAAGACAAAGATAATTTTTATAAAATCATTATTGGTGTGTTGGTTATTTCCTTGCTTAGCGTAAGGTTCCGAGTGCGAGTCTTTTTTGTAGGTTTTCATCCCAAACATTTAAAAAAATAAAAAAATGATATTAAAAGCTAAAAAACTCAGAAAATTGATACATACGGGTTCAAACCCATGCTTGGAACAAAAGAAAAGGCCACACAAACCAACTCTACCAAGAGAAATTTGTGTTATGTTGTAGTTTGAAGGAATTTAAGGGGCACTCGAAATGATACGGTAGCACCTTCAGGAAAATAACTTTTTTCCCATTACAACGGATTCATTAAGAGGCAGTCCATGCCACCGTATGCTACCAAGTGGGTCCGCCCCTTCTTGAGTTAATTCTTTCACTAAGACAGTATTAAGAGCATTTGAAAGATGGTCCTAGCTACTACGGCCATTCCTCAAATCAGATACACCAGTCTGACATTTTTGTCGCTTAAAAACGGCTGCAACTTAACTTATCATCTCTAATTACAATCTTCAAAAAGAAAATCCGTTTTGACCTTAAGGCTCATACATGAAGGCATAAAGCTCACTACAATCCGTCAAAACATCATAGATCCGTCCTTTCATTCCCAAAAACGTAATAAAACAACAATCCACTTGATGAATTGCAAGAATAAACAAATCCACATCCAAATCACGAGCCTTCAATGTAGATAAAAACACGAAGAAATATCAATTTACCAATATCAAGAAGCAATCTAGGTATCCCATCATCAGGCAACGCAAGAAGCTCCAGTGCTCTCTCTGAAAGCTCTGCCTTCAATTTCAATATAGCTTTTTAAAACATTATCATTGAAACGAGAAAAGAAAAACCACTAAGAAAATCATAAAACCCCACTAATTACATACAAAAACAAGACAAGTACACATACACATTCATATGAACATATACCTGAATTCCGACGATACGCGAGGATGAAGTGTACTTTCGAGCTTCAACATCGTCGTAGAATATCTCCGGCGGTGCTTGCAGCTCCGGCCTCGACGACATCTATACTGACAACGGCGGCGGTGGTTGGTTTTAGTGGTCGACAAGAAGATGCTGTTGGGGTTTTACTCGGCGGTGTACTGCAATGCAAGAGGGTTTCGAGTCAAAATTAGGTTTCATGTTCAAAAAACCTTTTATACATATTAAAATTAGTGAATTGCAATTTTCCCCTCAGAGTTAGAGATCACTTCCACTTTGGTCCCTTGAAAAAACTTAATTCTTTTCTCGTCTTTCGGTTGGTGATTTTTGTTTAAATTTGGTCCTTTCGATCCCGTGACACTCGGCTCCACCGTCAACCTCTGCCTCTTTGTAGTATGAATTAGCGAGATGAAGTATTGTACTACATAGATGGTTTAGGGATTCAGGGCATGTTCATATATTTAAAGTCAGATATTTTAGTTTACATTGTTGTTCAAATAAATGTAAACGTACCGTGTTCATTTTGTTTATATCATTTATGTTGTTCATAATATTGTTTGAAGAAATAAAGATTGTGTTCAGTTTTTGTTGTACACCCTATTCTTCATATAGCATCTTATAGAAAAAATACGACAACATACTGGTGAAGTAGAACCTTTTATGTCATTAATTTCTCAATTAATCCTCTCTGTTTGAAACAATTGAAAAGCAATTAATAGCTCATAAACAATATCGTCAAGTTCCAATCCAAGAGTGAAAATTCATAAACCAATCATTTTTCTTTTCTCAAATTCTTCACTTTTTTGGCCATTTTTTAAACTCTCCACTCAAAACTTTTTGGCAGACATTTCACGAAAATAATCACTCTGCTCTTTGAAGTAAATAAGTCTAAACTTTTAAGCCCTATTTTCAAGTGATTTCAGTTCTGATTATCATTTAAATGGGCATCCATCCAGTAGGTTAGGCTGAAAACACCAGCAGAATGTTTATTCCTGATCCAAAACTTTGGGTACAAATAACAAACAAATTGAACCTGAATTATCCTAAACTCCAGCTTATGAACTTGATACGAGAAAATATTGTCATTAAAATTTCAACCCGGAATGAATTGCCACCACTCCTCCCACAAGATTTTCGTACTCCACCTTTTGAAACCCAGCCTCTGCAATCATTGAAGCAAACACCTCCTGGAAAACCACCAATTATTCGGCTGTATAGCTTCATCGAATTACAAAGATTAAAAAAAACATACCTGCGGAGGAAAACGTCGAACGCTCTCAACCAAATATTGATAAGAATCACGATCTCCTGCAACAAGCTCACCTAGAACTGGAATCACTGAGAATGAGTAGGAATCATACCTGATCAATAAACAATAAGAGGGGTCAAAAGGAGGACTGTGTATAGAATACTTTTCGACTTTGAAAGCATGTGTCATTTGTTTTACTAAATCGAAAATGTGTCTCCTTGATAATATTTCAATCCTTGGTTATTGATTCTTTAAAGCAAATGTAAATCAATTTTAGAGTTAGAATGTAATTTCTTCAACACTTGAAAGGTCATGTAATTAAAATGCTCATAACTGTTCAAATGTAAGTTTAAAGATACTTACAGCTGCTTGAAAACTGGAGCTTCTACATGGCTGAGTTCAAGGCAAAGGAATCTCCCTCCCTTTTTGAGTACCCTGATTCAAAGGTAAATTATCAACAGAGTAAGTATTTCTAGATTAATTTGTCGGGTATTTACAATAAATGATGTTTTTGAACAACTGCTACTCATTTCAAACCTCTTCGTGTTTTATCAAAAACTTTCTAATTTGCAATTTAACTATCAAGTGTTTGCCAAGCAGACAAGATACTTCTCCCTGAAACCATAAATGCAGACGCTTTACACACTAAGCCATTGTTTCACAAGTGCTACTAGATTAGAGAACTTCAGCATCTTCTCAATGTCTAAAAACATGGACACTTCAAAGACCAGAAAACAACATAATAAAAATGTCCTAGTGTTTATGACAAGTATTTAATTAAATACTAACACAACAATTTGGAAACTGTTTTCGCTTCTAACACTAGTTTTCAAACTTCAAGATACCAAACATGGGAACATTTAAATCAATATACAAATCACAAAGGGTCATAGACAAACAATTTATTTGCAGAGTGTTAAACCTAACAATAAAGTATAGAGAAAGATCAAAATAGAGAGTAGAAAAAAAGTTGTGGTCCATCTTTTTCTACTTTCCATGGATGAACTGTTGAGACAGCTCTTCGGTTGCCCAGGTAGCGGTTGAATCATCGGGTCATTAGTATTGACCCAGCCCCATTTTCTTGCCAAACAAAGATTCAACTAGGTTGGATGGGTTTCTAACAATTGGCAATAAACAAAAGAGATTCTATAATGGCAATGGAGTCATTGCAAAGCAAACATTTTTTAATATGTGTTGGTCGTAAGTCTTCAATTGAATGCATGGCTGGCAATCCAGTAAAAATGCTTTTCTTAATATTTTGTGAAGTTCCACAACCATAATCTTCTCTTCTAGTTTTAAAGTCAGGCTAGAGAATTACCTGTATGCTTCAGCAAGAACTTTTTCTATGTGTGTAACGTTCCTAATACCAAAAGCAATAGTGTAACCATCCATTGAACCATCCTCGAAATTGAGCTTTTCTGCATCTCCCTCAACCCATATGAGGGATCCTTGATCTCCAAGCCCTATATAAGTTAGAAGACAACTGGTAATCCATGGTGGGGACATGGTTTATAACTTGCATCATCTCTCTAAATATATATGGACGATGAGTTTCAGTTTTACCAATACTTACCTCTTTCTTGGGCTCGCTTTTTGCCAACATTCAACATATTTGGATTGATATCACAAACATAAACCTGAGTTTCTTCCTGCAAATCCTCTTCAAGGGTGTCTTCTATGGCTCTGCGATTAACACTATTGATAGTTTCTAGGATCCTGAAAGCGACATCGCCTGCAAAAAATTTCAAATTCCATGAGAAGAAAGAATGTTTTTAAAAGCCTCCAACCAGTGAAATTGGACGTTGGGGCATGTCATGATACCATTCAATAGGAAAGATAGTGTTATATGTCAAAAGATAGCAGAAGAACAATGTTGGGATCAAGTCTCAGCACAATTAACGAGATTGAGATCATTCGATTGACATACAACCAAAAGTGTAAAAAAGAAGACATTAGATCTAGGCCAATGTTATCCTACAAACATCAAACGCGCATAATGATACGTATGTTTCAGTTACACAATGCAGAAAATTCCAGGCCAAACACTTCTTACAAACTTGTACCTCAATTCTCATAGCACATTTTTACCATAAGGGCCGTACACAAAAAATGCAATAACATAGTAAACATACTTCAACAACCAAAATCTAAACTAACAAATTCCTTGTTTGTTTGTCTTTAGTTGAGCCCACCAACCAAGTTAAAGGAAAAACGCAGTCATCCAGAAATGGCAGACTTTGGAAAGGCCCTCTCCTGAACAAAGACCGAAGCTTCTGTGAATAGAATATATTTAGACATTACGTATGTATATCTTTTCTACCAGTTCCAAACCTAAGATTGATTATGAAGTATCTATACCTAGTTTAAACATACGACCTTGGACCCAAGCAGTTTAATTTAACATGAAACTTGTTTCCTATTCCTTGTACTTTTAATTTCTAAAGCAGAGTTAAAATGGTATGATTGGTGAGACAGCTATACTGAATTATTGATTATCAAAGCTTGGAATCGGGACTGCAACTTTGCATAAATATGATCATCATATGGACAAACTAACCTGTTCCCCCGGCTACATCAAGATGTTTCATCCCAGGAAATGGACTCAATTTCGAGACCAATCTGGAGAGAGCAAGCATAAAAAATAAGCCTAGTAGACAAATGATGGAATATGAAAATGAAAATAAACTTTGTACTTCACCTATCCTTCCACAATCTATGTAGTCCACCACTCATCAAATCATTCATGATGTCATAGTTTGATGCAACCTTGGTGAAGACATCACCGACCATTTGGCTTTTTTGCTCTTCCTGAATTTCTTTAAATCCTGCAGTACAACTAGCACGTCAATATAGGGGTTTATTACTATGGAGCAAGATCCTGCATAATGGCAGGCTGTTGATGTGTAATCAGAAAGGATGAAAAAACTTATATTTCTTAAGATACAAAAGTATGTTATATAGATAAGAAAATGTGTGCCAATACCAGCACATTATCTATTTAATAATCTATTTAGCTTATATTTCTTAAGAATCAAAAGTATGTAATTGGCAACTGCTTTCATCCTCAAAAACTTGTAGGTAAACTTTTAAGCAAAGTCAACTACATATCATGAACTCATTACTCTTATTACAAAGAGGCACACCCTCTGAGAGACTCCCCCCCCCCCTTTCCTTTCAGTTAGCTTTCATGTCATCATGTGTACAGGATTCTCATGCATATTGCCATGAATCAGAATGAGAAGATTGGTAGAGAAATATTAAAAAGAAAAAGATCGATTATTTAACTTGACAGATAGATGAAGATATACTTAACCCATTTGACAGGAATTGGATTTTTATATTGAATGAGTCCTTTAGTGATAATGTACAATGCTAGCTGGTACAAGGTATTCAGCTAGCTACTCCAAGAACTTCTGATTATGTTTTACCATTAAAAGTGAGAGTGCACGTGTGTATGAATTGTCTAATTGCAGAATCCCACACAACGAACAGTGCTTTGGAAGTCCTATTAGCTCCATACCTAACGTAATAGTTTCCTATCAAATGCTTTCTATTTATAAAATAAGGCACTGGAAACCATGGAGAAAATCGTGTGGATCCTGAAACCTACTTTTGCTCACAGTTTGCTGCTTGCTATTTCACTTATGGGAATGGACCTCAACTTTACCAAATTATGAACTGACTTATGCTAATAATTGCACAGAACAGGCATAAATTTTAATAAATAAGATTATAGCAAGTATATAATTCCCTCCAAACCCAAAACACGATATGCTTTCCTTCATAGATAAGAGGTATAAAGTTGTTTAAATGTATGTGGTGCTTAATACATGAGTTTATGCATTCCCAAACACCACTAGCTAAAAGTCATCAGTTTCATCCCGACTTTTGTTTTGTTTGATCTTCTTGTAAGATAGTGACTTGAGCTATTCGCTTATTTCGAAAATCCCTTTTAGCATCTACCACAATGACAAAGAGAATCAAACTTTGCACAGTGAAGAGGGCAAATTTTAATTTCTCCCTCTATACCAGTGACTGTAGGAGTAAGTAGAGATCCAACATATGCAGATTATTTTCTGAATTCCATTCTTCATTTAGATACTTGTTTATTTTCCTTGTGTGTCTTCCATGCATACTACTTTCTAAAATGAAACTGTCTTACCAATAAACATAGGTTAATGAAACATCCTGCCAACCAACAACCCACTCCTCATTCAATATGATGGTACTCTGGCAGTTCGTTATTTCAAAAATTCTTACATGTAGCTAGGCAATACAAAAACTGTTCATCTTCCATGGTCTGTATGATCAGCATCACATACTTTTGGTTTTAACTAATGTTCAAAATTGAAAATTTTGGATATTCTTGAGAGCTAGCAGCAAAACATAAAAGAGACACAAGATTATGTGGCCCTTAGTGCCTGAGTATAAATTCTGGTGTAAATTTTAAAGGAGTGTCTAGAGTAACACCCTTTTTCACATATTTGCCGTAATTATGAAAGAAAGAACATCAAACAGCAGGATAGCAAGGTTGACCTACCAAAGCTAGTGGCATGAGAATGCAGTGTAGCAGCAGGAGTGAACATGGGTAATAGCTTGCTCCCCAATCTCCGAGCAACCATTCTCGACGACATCCTTTCAGTTCTGTCAGAGTCAACAAACAAAATAAGGAATCAAAGAGTTTACACTGTGTAAACACATTCTACAGTTCATCAACAAACAAAAGAAGGAATCAAAGACTACATAAAATGTGTAGGCACATTCTACTATTCGTTTAAGCCATGCAGAAGTATAACGAATTATCAAAATAAACGTAATGCATATATGGAACATGATATGGAATTTTATAGGTAGTCCTCTAAGAGTGGAACTGAACGGTGGGTTAATGGAGGCTTTCACACTGCAGTCAAACTGGTGAACCACTTGAGATTGCAGCACACAAGTGTTGATGCCAAAAGGATGTCTACTACGAAAAAGAATTCCTTTATATACCTGGATACCTAGTACTTCTCATTGGTCTGTTAAATTTAATGACACTTACAGACTTAATAGCACAGACCCATGTATAATAAGTGGCAAACAAAAACAAAAAACTAGATCTAATTTAATGACACTTACAGACTTAATAGCACAGACCCATGTATAATAAGTGGCAACCAAAAACAACTAGATCTGCATATGCTCTTCCAAAGTCACCTTTCCAACTCTGGCCTCAAAATTAAAAAGTAATAAATTCAATCAAATACATATAAAAAGATAGGTAGATAACATAATACCACATAAGGATGTCGACCTAAACACCATAACCCGCTGTAGGAAGATATTATAATTAACAGCGACAATCAGATGGATCATGTTTCCAGTTCAACTACGTAAATCTACTACCATATATGAAAAATCAAAACCCAGCTGAAGACCATATATTTCTACAAGGACAAAGAACTGAAATATGCAAAATCAAAACCCAGCTCAAGGCCATATATTCCTATAACGAAAAAGAACTGAAATCCAATTTTCGACGCATATATGGTAGTACTGTAGGAGATTAGAAGCAGAAGAAACAATTGAATAAGCAATGAAGCCAAGTCACAAATGAAACCTATTGTGCACTTTCTAGAAGGCAATGGGGGATTCAGGAGCGTGGAACAGGCTATGCACTATCTAGTGTCTATAACAAATATAAAACCCGAGAAAGCAAACCATACAATTCAAAATAAAAATAGATTGTTAAAAAACAACACAACCACCACTTGATATCGAATTAAGAATTCATAAAACTTATATACCAATCAAATAGTTGTGGTCGAGTTTTCATACTTTGAAACCAATCCAATGTCCCTCCTTTCTTCGTCCTTTTTGATGACTCATTTTCCTATTTGTCTTGTATTTGGAGATATGCTAATTTACTTGATCAACGTAAAGAAAACAATAAAACAACTAATTATACAACAACGGGCAACAAAGAGGAACTATGAGCATATAATCATTCGGTAAAGTTTAAGATTTATGAAATAAACTAACGCAATCCGTGCTAGGCTCAGTCTTGAAAATTTTAACCAAATTTTACAACGTACACAATTAAACATAAAAAGATGATCGCTTAGGTTCAAACCTAGTTGATCAACAATCAATTAACTATGAAGACTTTCCAACACCCAAAGAGTAGAGAGACTGTACCCGGGTTTGCAAGAAAGTGTATGCGGAAAACGATTTAAAAATTAAAATCCCTAATTTACTTGCCTCTTACGAAGCTCGAACTCTTATGTAGACGAGCAGGGAAATCTTCCCCCGTGAGTGAGTAGCGTCACTGCTTGAGAGAAAGAAAGTTTGAGAAATCCACGCCTGTGACTGGTCGTCTGGTAGAGCCGCCGAGGGCAGAGGCTCCAGCAGATAGATGGGAGTGAGCGGCGTGTGAGAGAGATCGACAGATAGCAAATAGCTGTTGATTGACAGTTAACATCACAATTTGTAAACAATTTCCATGAATGTTAACCATTTGAGACATTTTATCAAACATATTGCCTGCATACTGGAAATGATCAAATATAAACTTCAAAACCCTTTTATGTACATGGGTATTTCAATTTGGAACTGTTATAATGCATAGAAAATACTACGTAACAAGCAAAGAAACATAAAACCCATCTATGGCATAGAAAAGAAACGTGACTGTGTGAGAGAAAACCACAATTTGAATTTCTATTCGGTGCTTATACCACAATAGAATGAATAGACACAACCGGAGCCGCAGGTAGAAGGACGTGGCAGTCGCAGTCGCCGGATCAACAGTTCACCAAGCAAAAGAATGGAAGAAACAAGAACAGCGTGATGGGATGGATCGGATGTTTTTTGGGCAAAATTGCTTGTTCACTGTAACCGCCTCCTACAAAAGAAACTTACTAGAACGACCACCAAGTTTTAATAAGTTCACATTTTGTACCCCAAAAGTATAACACTTTCCATTTTAATCATCAAAGTGTCTTATAAATTACTCTCTCAGTCCCAAAATTAGTATTTACGTTCTATTTTAGTTTGTTCCATGTTCACTTTTAAAAGTAAATATCTATGAGTAACAATTTATTGTTTTTATAAGATTTACAGATAGACCGTTTGATACCATGAGTAAGATGTTTTAACACCAAATCAAGAGTTTTGAAGGTTATTGAACAAAATTAAAAATCATATTCGTAATTAAAAATTTATATAAAATCATATCCTACTCAGGTACCCTAATCTTGTGTCTCAAATAATTTCTATCAGACGTTATATATTTTGTAATGTCTAGAACTGTCATGTGTAACCTCTATTGCTCATCCCATGTGCAACAGAACATGAATTGAATAATGATCCATAATTATAAACAACTAGAACCGATATTCGAATATCGAGACACGAACGTTGAATCAAAATCAAATGACATGAATTAGAGGGGTTGAGTCAAGTTTAACACATTAATTAAACGAGCCCATGATTGAACATATTGTAACCTTGAGAGGAGGTTTATTATGGAATGGAACATGAACTTGATATGAAATAAAATGAAATTTTCAATTGGTTACATTATAATATAACTTTGTTCACATGTATATAAATAGAAATGAATAAAAGTATGCTAACTTTTCCTAATTTCCAAACTCTGGATTATACATGATGATATGAGAAAAGGTATGAAAAACACAATGAATTTTGTGATTAATTTCACAAACAAATTAAACAAAGCCCCCAAAATAATATCACGCCCAACACAATCATCCATCTTAGCCTCCATATTCTCAAATAAAATCGTGGATTTAATTATCCAGGGTTCTTTTTTTAATTTGAGGAAGATAAATGGCGGATGTGAAGGGTGTGTGTATATAATGTGTATATGTATTGATTTGGAGTCGATGGGATTAGTAGTAGGGGATTACGGGTGGTGGTGGAGAAGCGTAGGAAACTCCGAATACTGGTGGAAGAGGCATGTTGTCGAATGGTGGTGGCGGCGGGAGTGATGGTGGTGGGGGAGATGGGTATGCATGTTTAAAGGGTGGTGGGGGAGATTGAGTTTCTTGTGGCGGTGTTGTTGGATGGTGGTGGTATGTGGGTGATGGTGGAGATTGAGTTTGTGGTGGTTGGTGGTGCCATTGTTGCGGTGGAGGTGGTGGTGGAGATGAAGAGGGGGTTTCACAAGGCTTGGGAGGAGGTGGTGGAGCACAGTCGGATAATGGTGCTGGTGGAGGAGGTGAATGGGATGGTGGCGATGGGGTTTTAAGGTTGGGTGGAGTGTAGCTATGATGTGTTGGAGGCGCTGGTGGAGGAGAGGTTTGGTGTTGATAGGTTGGAGTTGGTGGTGGTGAGCTGTGGTGGTGATAAGTTGATGATGATGAGTTCTGAGGTGGCGGTGGCGGGGACTGTTGAGGTGGGGGTGGTGATGAGTATTGTGGCGGTGGTGGTGGTGATGGCAGCGGTGGAGGAGGTGGTGGTGGTGATGAATATTGCGGTGGCGGTGGCGGTGGCGGTGGCGAGCAAGGAGGTGGTGGTGATGGGGAAGGTGGTGGCGGTGGTGGTGGAGGTGAATGAGGAGGCGGTGGTGGTGGAGACTGTGGTGGAGGTGGTGGTGGTGAATGTGGAGGTGATGGCGGCGGTGAATGTGGAGGTGGTGGTGGGGGAGACGGTGGTGGCGACTGTGGAGGCGGAGATGGTGGTGGAGGTGGTGGCGACTGTGGGGGTGGTGGCGGTGACGATTGTGGTGGAGGTGGTGGCGGTGACGATTGTGGTGGAGGTGGTGGGGAATGCACATGGGTTTTAGGTGAAGAGTCAAACATAGGAGGCGAGGGTGGTGGAGACAGGTTGTTTTCACGTGGTGGCGGTGGAGCATGTTGATCCTTTGGTGAGACTTGCCAAACTGGAGGTGGTGATGGAAGCCGTGATTTTGAAGAACTTCTATCCGTTGGTACCGGAGGTGGTGGAGAGTGTGATCTCATATTCGGAGAAGTCTCAAATTCCGGTGGCGGTGGAGTAGGCTTCACAAATGGCCTCGGCGCCTGAGACGGTTTTGGAGACGGTGGCTTTGGAGCTGGCGCAGTCCTCCTAGACCTGGATTTCGACTTAGACCGCGGTGGAGTTGAAACCGGAGAACTCGTTGGCGACGGAGAGCCACCACATTGCAACTTACTACAATCCACAGGACGTGCATCACCGGAAGAACACTCCCTAGCTGACCGTTGATTCCCTTTCCCGATAATACAATTCTTCCCATCATCAAACACCTTACCGCCGGTGGCCACACACGACGGCGCTTCCCCAGTGAAGTAATTGGACGAGAAAGTAAAGTTTTGCAACCGGGGCAACTTACAGATACTATCCGGCACCACCCCTGTCAACTTGTTATGAGCCACGTTCAGCTGCTCCACACTCCTCATTCCGGCAATCGCCGCCGGCAACGGCCCTTGAAGACTATTAAAGCTGACGTCAAAAACCGTCACCTTTTTTAGCGCCCCGATTTGCACCGGCAAACAGCTCGTCAGATTATCGTTCATGAGAATGATCTCATTCAACGTTGACCCCATTTGTCCAACGCTCGCCGGAAGACATCCACCCAGATCGTTGTTCGCCAAAACAAGCACCGATACCGGCGAGTTACCCAAATTTGGCGGAATACCGAACTTAAACCGGTTGTCATTCAAAAAAACCGCATCAAGATCCTTATCGAATAGCTTAACCGGAACAGACCCTTCAAATTCGTTGAACCGGAGGTCCAAGAACTTCAACACCGGCATAGATAAAACAACCGTCGGAAAAACCCCGACGAAACGGTTGTTGCTTATATCAAGCTCGTGGAGGAGCTTGAGCTTCTTGAAAGTGGCTGGAACAGTGCCGCAAAACCGATTGGAGTTAATGTGAAAGACAGCAAGGTCAGTAAGATGACCGAGTTCCGGTGGAAGGTAACCAGCGATATCAGCATGATTGAGATCAATTCCAGCAACCACACGATCGGAGCTGTTGAACAAAGAGGGAGCACAGAACACACCGCCGTAGCTGCAAACGTCCGCTCCAGTCCAGTTAGCGGTGAAATTAAATGGGTCGGAAAAGATGGCTGTTTTCCATGCTTGGAGAGCAATGTATGCTCGCCGGAGACTCTGGTTCTCAAAAACAAGATTGTCTACGTCATTATCATCGGCGGCTGAAGAGACGTGGAGGAAGGCGGCGGAGACGAGAAGGGTGAGGAAGAGGAATCGCGGCGGAGGCATTGTCGGAAAAGATTGAGAGAGAAAATGGGCCAACTGGCCAATGCGTGTTTTGTGATGAATTCCACCCAAGTCTGAATTTAAAGGAGTGATTTTATTATTATATATTTATTTAAACCACATAATTATTTGAGAATCAAAAATGTTAAAAAGGGATACACCTGCCACCAAACCCATGTTAAGTCTCCTGTCTTCCTTGGCCCTTTCTGTTACAGATTTTAATAAATAATAATTTTTTTTAAAATAATACAATTTATATATTAAAATAATACAATTTATATATTAAAATAAAAATACATTTTTGGTTTTGAAAAGAATGAGCGGCACCGGCAACGATAAAAGTCTATCTAAGTACAACAATAATAATAGGGACAATATGACAAGCCAGCACGTTGCCAGAATTAGTCACAAATTAAATTCTAAATAATAATAAAGTTGAGAAATATAATTGGGAGTAGTGGAGGGTTTGTAATGTTCCTAAGTATTATTTTACTTTAAAATAAAAATAGATTTATTTTATTTTACTTAATTTTTCACCATTTTTTTGTTAAAATACATTTCAAATTAAATATTTAAGTATTTATTGGTTTTTTAAAGAAAATAAATAAATAAATATTATTTATTTGTGAAAAAGAATAACTCGAATATATATACATACGACATGAGTAGTAGGAGTCCAGTAATTAAGGGGCCCACGAAAACGGCGGATGATTATACGCGTTTAGCTGGCGCCATGACTGACGGCGTGGTCTTATTAATCATGTTGGCAATCCCCTGTCTCTGTTTGGTTGATTTTAGAGTGAATTATAGTAAAGGTCCTTGTGGTTTGTTTAAATTTCGAAAATGGTCCCTTAAATATATTATCTAACATCTGTGGTTTTTAACCTTTTATTTTTATAACATCCAAGTTAACATTGTTAAATAAGGTACTTAACTTGTGTCTTTTACATTAGGGTAATTTAGTCCTTTTACTACTTATCTCTTTTGAAAGAATAAGTTAGGGGTTGTTTATCAAACACTTATCCGGTAAGTGCTTACCGGTAAAATTTAATACTATTATGTACTTACCGGGTAAGATTTTAGTCCACCAAAACGACATACTATACAATAATTTACTCGGTAAATGCTTACTCGGGTAAGAGTCTTCACTCTTACTTATTGGGTAAGACTTTCCATCATTTCACCACTCATATCGGGTAAGACTCTTCATCCTTATATCGTTCTAACCGGGTACCATGTTCATTCGGAAAAGAAAATTTTCCGGTAAGCACTTACTCGATAAATGTTTAGTAAACGGCCCCTAAGATTCATTATAAGTTGCTTTCATGAACTAAAAAGTCGAAGCTTACGGACATATGAAAAAGATGAACATTTATTAAATTAAATCTTGACAAAATTGCCCCTCATGTGAGGGGCGGATGGAGCTAACGGCCTCAACTTAACAGCGTTAATTTGAGGGAAACTAGTGTCATAAAAATGAAAAGTCAGGGACCTTCTCTGTAGATGGTGTATTTAAGGGGTAATAACCAATGAAAAGTTAGGGACCTTCATATGATTATTTAATTCAAAACTAGAATTTTGAATTTCGATTTAATATATATTTGTTTCATAACATTACAAACCTTATTGTAACGATAGAGATACGTTTTTTATACAATAACACGCCTTTTTAAACACCAAATAAAACCTAGTTTCTACTTTGCGGACCCATAACGGATAACTGCCACCCCCATGGTTTGTAGACTGGGCCCAAAACGTTAGTGGGCAGACCAAATGGCTAAGGCTCAAAAATCATGAACCAAGCCAGGTTCCAGAATCCAGCCCAGCTCCATTGGCTCAGTTTTAATTTTAAACGATTTTTATTCGTTTTTCTTGATAAATTACACATGCACTAATTATATATTGGCACATAAATCCCCCCTTCTAATGAACAACGTTATTACCAATTTTCATTTAAAAAAACCAAACATAACAATTGTCTATACACAATCTTTTCCCGTTAAATCGGTTGCTTTTAGCAACTGTTGGCCCACGGTACCAATCTTATATTGAAAATATACTATAAAATTTATATAACCATACATAAATTAAGGGTGAAAACGTGTCATTTGTATCTTCGATATCAATTAATTTCGCATCTGTAATATTTTCGGGTGATTATGCTTAAAAATGATTGTCCTGTAGTTATATATCATTAATTTGGTGAAAGGCAAGCCAGTTTTATAGCCCGTTATATCTCTTCATTTGGATAGAGCCTACAAAAAAAAAATGGAGCCCAATTTTACTTTTTTTTAGGAGCCTAATCTGTAGCCCAAACTCAAATGTGTAGAAAAAAGTGCACACATAGCGACCTCAGTTGCAAATCATACTCAAGAACTCTTCGATCTCCCTCTCGCTTATATTCCTGATTTGGCGATTGAAATTCCTGAAAATGGCTATTAGGTCTGATTTGAATTCATGTATGAATATTAGGACCATACGAGTCCATAAGGATGTTTGATGAGGAGTTGTGTAGGGATCTTTGAGGTGACATATGGTTTGCAACAAGGATGCCAATGCTTGTACAGGTCGGTTGTGCCAAATGACTGCAACAAGGAATATATGATCTTAGTACAAATGTAACAAGGCCTCCAAAAAGATTGGAACAACCCTAGTGAAAACATCATTAATAAAACTCTAGTTTTGTGTACGTTCTTGATCTCATACCATATATTGGCTGATAATGTAAACTTTATGAAGTTGGTTCTCAACGTCAACCTCTTTCTCACTCCTAACTTTCAACATGCTACAATTTTAACACATGAAACAATCATTTATTCATTCAGACAATTGATTTAGAAAAAGAAAGAAACATCAATATATTTATATCTAGATAGATTATCTAAACAAATAACTTAACTTCACCAGATATTGCAGTGCAGAGTTTAGATGGGTAGGGGTGTAGAGGGTCTTAAACCACTTGCATACACATATTGCATTTACTGTCCATTCATGATATTATAATCGATTCAAATATTTGGAAAATATATGTAGTGTATCCAACTAACCATAACGAATAAAAGTTAATTAATTGGTTAATTTCATGAAATAGAAATTTATAATTTAAGAAGATTCTAGAAGACATAATTAGTATAGCTTCTACATATCGGTCGGATTACTTGAGATCACTATTTTACGTAAATTAAAACCCTTTGTCGTAATATGCATGTTTTTAACCCATCCAAAAACAGAGGACATATATTAAGTCAACCTAAAGCTTATTTAACAGTAACGAATCATAATGAATTGAGGTTCTAAAGAAAAATAAATACAAACATGTGTAATAATTTATATGTTTTTATGAATAATAAATTCCACGCGTGTGTGTATATATATATATATATATATACATAGGGGCCCATTAAAGGAAGAACTGAGTTGTTTATGGTAATCGTGAGGTCCAATCTCAACCAATCATTTTAATATATTAATTATTCAATTTAATTCAATTTAAAAGGGTATGATAGTCAATTCCTAAATTAAGATTAAATTTTAATTTTTAAAATAGAACCGTTTCACAAAAAATAATTAATATTGATTTACATTCCTCAATTATAGATTAATATGATTCAATGGAATAAAATCAAAAAAATTAATCCATGAGTGTAAACATGATCATGATTCTAAATTATCACATGGAATCACACATATTTGTTGAAGATTTTCTCCATAATATTTAAAAATATCAAATCAATAAGTGTTTCTGCTAGAATTTTACCACAATGTAGCACAACATTGTTCACACACTATCATATATATATATATATATATATATATATATGAAAGCAGGATGCATCACATATATAGCTGCTAGCTACATTAATTTGGGATCAATTTCTTGTTAACTAGATTAGGAGTCAAATCTTTGTGTCTGTATATTTTACCACAATGTAGCACACCATTTTGACCAGACAAGATTATGATCAATTCGTTAGCATCCATCAATTATGTATATGGTTCCACTTGCGATCGACTCTAGGGTTTAGGGAAATCGTGTCCTTCTCGAAAACCAGACAACATCTTCACTCTATTTTGGATTCGAATTTAAAAGTGTATATTAAGAATGCTTTTTTATGACATATTGCTTTGGATAATAAGCTCTGATTTTCTGGATTATATTTTCATAGTGCCAAAAAGAGGTGAAGGATGATTCTTTTTCTTTGAAATGGATGAAACCTGTATATCAAGCTTAATTTAAATGAATTATGTTCAGACAATGAAGATATTTCCTTATGCTTTTTTTTGGTCTCGAAGGGTATTAAATTTTGTTCGTTTCAACTTGGTGAATAAGAGTTCTTTCTTGACACACTCGTACTAAGAATGTTAACTAAAGTAGTTCTGCTGATGATAGCTTTTGAATTGAGTTTTAGCATGTAAAGTGAATCGTTGCTTGTATTATCTTAGGATGTTCTAAGCAAAATAGGGAATAGTGCTTCATGCAGTCTCTATGTTAGCGTTGTTATGCCACATAAAAACTTTAGGCTCTTCGGTATTCTTTTGTGACTGAGCAACCTAGTCTAGAACAGTAAGAGCTCCGTTTGTGGCATTTACCCGCCCAATCCAACTAAGAAGAACCGAACCTGACAAAAAGCCGGCCTGCCAATAGGCGAAAGAGAATAAACTAGTTGACGACGGAATGAACAACGAAACTTTACAGTGTCACCTAGCTCATTGAGTCATGTATGAGATAGATTTGCTTTGTATTTTAGGCTGAAAATAAAATATAGTAAAATGACCAATTCAACTTGTTTGTAGTAGTCCATGTGAGATCAACATTGTCTTTTTAGATGTGAGCTCACTCACATAATTGTTTATGTAAAGGAAGATGTCTCTTCTTGCAAATGCAACACTGATTTAGACACATGGAAAAGGAACATGAATGTGTATGTGTATGTTCATTTGAGCAGACACTTTGGTTGACATACTAGTACACTGCTCTCATGGAAAGGCATGTATTAGGATGA